AAAAAATCCGGTACAAAAATAACCATATAGAACAAGGTTTTGCTGAAGTGTCATAAAAATATCATTACATTTCTATTAATTTAAAGTGGCCTCTACGATTGCCAATAAGATCAAAAATATTAATAATTTCATCAGAAGATATCTTAGCTGCTATTTTTTTTCTATGTAAATTATCATGCAATGGCGAAGTAAATCATCTCCCATTTTACTTCGAAGACGTGTCTTGACAATTTTCATAGCTGAAAAAGCACGCTCTGCAGTTGCCGTTGAGACTGGGAGAGTGATAACTAGTCACAGCAACCTGTCAACCATTGGACATGAAGAAGCTTTTCCGGTTTTAACTAGCCCTTTTGTTAAACAAGCAATAGATGGCAAGGTCATCAGTTCTGGATGACTTTCCAACTGAGCTAATTCTTGACTTGAAAAATCAGCGGGATAGAATTTTTCTGCCAGAGTGCTTATCTTTGGGATATCAAAATATTGATGCCTTGGATCCAATGATGAACAGAGAGTAAGGAGCTCAGTTGCTTGTGTACTGAATCGATCATTTAGTTCACTCAGATGGGAACAGGGAACTACAAATTACACAAATTATCATGATAGTTGTGAGGCGGTCAGAAACTCAGAATCAATGACCATAGAATCAGAAATTACACAACAAAATTACCAAAGCAAAAAAAATCTGGAGCATAAATTCGACACGGATACAGGATGAGAATCAACTTGCTAGTTCGTGGTTTGACGCGGGACTGCAGGAAGAATTGACAAGTGCAGCAGCCATTTACCTGAGTCCCTGCCTCCGCCACTGGTTGTGTGCATCCTTGGGATGTAGAGGAAGGGGTAATCCCCTTTTCAAAGAAAAACACGTACTCAGACAACTCAAAATAATCTCTCCATTGTTCAAAGAACGACTAAATCTGTATAACCGCCCAAGTATGAGTATACTGGACACCCTTCCATTTGTTGCCATCTTAGTCTTATGTCTCATCTAGTTACCCAATTCAAAAACTCGTACGTGTAAAAAAATCCGATAACTTGAAAGATATGAGTTCAAGATCATCACAGGCTAGTTCACCCTGGTGTGAGTGGTATACACGTGTGTGTATTTTTGAGCTTAGGGTGGCGTCTAGGCCAACTCATTGGTGCATGCATGGTAACTGATGTAGTATCTATGTGTGGCATTCGTGGAATATATTTACAAATGGTAAATAAAAAGACACCAAGGAGAGATTTCAGATGTGATAATCCGTTGAATAGAGATGAGTTCCAGTAGTTAAAACTTTAATAAACTGTAGGTGTGGTACATATGTAGACTACATATAGAAGCAAAAGTGTATAACATGTACTCTTAGCTAACTATTAGTTGAGCACCTAAGGAATATGCTAAACTGGAGTCCCATGCCATGTTCATTACTTCTACTCTGAAGTTCATATAGACTCAAATAATCGTTGCAAAAATAATTGTACGTCATTAAGCAATGATTCTCAACTAAAGATTGTTATTTGTGTTCGAGTGACTAGAGACAAGTTCTAGTCATTGTTAAAATTTCAATGAAGTAAGCATGCTACATACATCAAATAAATTTATATGAAGCATATAAGAAATAAGCATGGAGAAATTGTTAATTACTTCATTGAAGTAGATGAAGCATGTTTGAGTTTTCGAGGTTTTATGATAGTTGACTGATGCCATCTACTAATTTTTAGGTATCTCATCATCATTGATGATGTATGGTCTAGACAAGCATGGAACACTATCAAGTGTGCTTTTCCGGAGAATAATTGTTCTAGTTGTATTTTAGCTACTACCCGCATCATTGAGTAGCAAAGTCATGTTGTCTGAATACTGATGACCGCATGTACGAAATGGAGGCGCTAAGTGATCTTCACTCTAGGAGATTGTTTTTGAAAAGAATATTTGGCTCTAGTAACTATTGTCCTGAAGTGTTGTACAAAGTTTCAGATGAAATTCTGAAAAAATGTGGAGGCCTACCACTGGCAATTATCAGTATATCTAGTTTGCTGGTGAATAGGCCAGCTACAAAGGATGAGTGGGAGAGGGTTAAAAGATCAATTGGTTCCACCAGTGGGAATGAGTAGTATACTATCTCTTAGCTATAATGATCTTCCACCTAATCTGAAGACATGGTTGTTGTATTTAAGTGTATTCCTTGAGGATTATGTTATTGAGAGAGAGAGGTTAGTGAGGCGATGGATATCAGAAGGCTTTATCTCAGAACAACGAGGGCAGAGCCAGCAAGAAGTTGCGGAGAACTACTTTTATGAGCTTGTCAACAAAAGCATGGTTCAACCAGTGGATATTGGATATGATGGCAAGGTTCGTGCCTGCCAAGTGCACTATATGATGCTTGAAATTATCATTTCAGAATCTATTGAAGATAATTTTGTCACTGTGGTACGTGGAGGTCAAAAAAAAATTGAAAAATCGTCATGGTTTTATTTGGTGACTATCAGTTCAACACATTGACCAGGAGTTGCTATCAGCATTGGCAAATGAAGATCTAAGTCATGTTCGATCTCTGACAGTAACATCATCAGTTTGCATGAAACACTTTCCTAGTCTTGTTGAATTTGAATCTTTACGTGTACTTGACTTTGAGGATTGTCAAGGTTTGCAGGAGTATGATATGAACAATATAGACAAATTACTCCAATTAAAGTACCTCAGCTTTAGGGGCACGGGCATAACAAAGCTACCATCAAGGATTGTAATGCTACATAATCTAGAGACCCTTGATCTTAGGTTGAAATCCATGAACAAGATCTGCCAGCTGGAATTGTTCTGCTCGGTAAACTACAATATCTACTCACTGAAACACATCATAAGGTACCTAATGGGATCATCAGTATGAGGTGCTTACGGGTAACCCCAAATTTTCATATTACCAAGAGTTCATTGGATGCCGTGGAGGAGCTTGGGAACTTGACCAGATTGAACGAGCTCTCTTTGTACTTGTCTGATGGATATAGATACAAGAGGCATGAGGAGGTGCTACTCTCCTCACTATGCAAGCTTAGCCGTTGCAAACTCCGGTCTTTATATATAAGTAGGGAATGGGGTTCACTCAACTTTATAGACTCTTGGTCCCCTCCATCCTCCCTTCGGATATTCCATATGTCTAGCAACATGCATTTAGCAAACATTCCAAAGTGGATTTCTCCGGGACTCACAAGCCTTGTTAATTTGGACATCAATGTTACTTAACTAAGGGAGGAGGGTCTGCACAATCTTGGTTTGCTTCCATCGTTACTGGATCTAGCACTGTGTTTTCGTTCAGGAGGAAGAAAAAAGCTTACCGTAATTGGATTCCCATGTCTAAAGAGGTTTAACATCTTTAGTTGGGATGGGGCATATGTAACGCTCACGAAAGGGTCCATGCGGAATCTTGAGGAGTTTTTGTTGTCTTTTGATGTGTCAGTGGCCAAAGCGTCTGGCTTCTATTTAGGCATTGAGCATCTCCCATCTCTCAAACTAATACAAGTAGTTCTTGGCAACGAAGGTGCCACATATTCGGAAACCAAGGCTGCAGCCGCTGCCATGCATCAGGAAGGAAGCAGGTGCCCATCCCAACCATCCCGAAGTCTGTATTTTGGTGGAACCGGATGAAGATGAAGAGGACAATGACAAGACTGATAATGATGAGGAAAAGAGCAGTGAGGAGGGGAATTAAAATGGTCACTCTCCCGTATGAAATGGTCCTTAAGTGCAAGAGGTACTGAAAATATTTTTTCCCTTCAAAAAGATTACATCATACATCTTTTTCCACACAGCTGCTGCATGCTTCTCAAATTCACGTGTTCTAGTATTTTCGCTGTAGCAGGCCATGATGATGTGCGGCTGGCTGGCTAGCTTGGAATGTCAAACCGCAGGTGGCTGAAGCTACTATTTCTTGCACTTTCAGATAAGAACTTGAAAACAGAAACTGAAAGAGAGTCACTTCAAAAAAAAAAAAAAGTATGCTAGTATTATTTCAGTGGTATTTATTGTGAAGGTACTACTTGTTGCTGAAGTGTATAGTG